TGTAGGAACAGCTTATGTACCTCAAGTGGCTTGGGTTAGTTGGGTTTGGTGGGGTTCCTGTGGATTATCTAATAGAAATAATTTCAGTGAACTCTGGGGCTTTGGTTTGTCCTTAGTTGTCTGCTACCTGGCCCTGGGATGATTGGAGTGCCTGTGTTCCCAGCATTAGAAACACTCATGCAGGAAGCAGAGTGTGGACTTAATCAGCTGCTCAAGAAGGGGAATGGACTGCTCTATAGCCAGGGCTTCAAATCAGGGTCAAGACAGCTTAATTAAAAAACAAACTATATTACACATACGAATTACCAAGATATAATATTCAGTTTAATAAAAAAGCTGAAAGAAATATACTTTACAGTTTCATTTACATAAAAATAAATTTTAACGCAATATTTATATATCTGTTTAGAGGTCAAAGTAGTAATTTCCTTTGGAGAGTAGGGTAGAGTGGAGATACTGATAGGGAATGAGTATGAGCTAGATTTGGGGGATCTGGTGCAACTCTTTATTTGTCTGTGTAATGGTTCACCTTTCACAATTTACTAAGCTGTACAGTTACACACTTCTCTGTGTTAGGTTTTTCCCTACAGAAAACGTATATGTATATGCATTTTTATAGCCAATCACTCATACAAGTTAAATAAACTGTTTAAAAGGCTGACTTTAACTCAAAAATATACGTTATGTCATCAAATAAAGAAGATACAGGATAATCCAATGCATTCATTTTATGAGAAGTAATTTGTTCGAGAGAGCTGCTAATTTGTTATCTCTCCAAAATAGGTTTTATTATAATAAATTAGACAGAGAGCATAACAAAAAAGTCAATCCACAGGAGAAATTGTTTTTCCCGTAAGTCTTGTATTAGATAAAATGCATTTATGTTTCTTGTAAAATGGCCATAATAATTATTGCAGAAACCAGTACTAGAAAAGAGAATTAGCTAGAAACCAGAAGCAGAGAGCAAATTAACTGAAGAAGTCATAATAACACTTGGAAAAAAAAAATACTTTGATGACTTACAACTAAATGGCAATAATCAATAAAAAGCATCCTTTTGTCTAAATGCTATATTAATAGTAACATTAATCTCATTTCATCTTGAAAGTGGCTCAGGAAAAAAAAAACATTAGATGGTATCAAACTGTAATTGCTATGGATGACTACGCAAGGTAATTTTTGAAGATACAGAGAACGCTGGTTTATGAGGCTTCTTGTTGAGAACTCCTTAAGTGGCAAGTAGAAAATACAACATTATATTTTGTTTGACCCAGGACGATACACACTATGCCTGTTTTCCATCACAAGAATCATGAATTATCCTTTTCCCTCTCAAAAGTATTTCTGTGTGGACTGAAATTATACAACTACCCGCCAAACAGCAAATTATTAATTTATCTGCTCTTCAAGTATTAATGATAAATCACTTTTAATATTCAGGAGCCCGTATTCTTTATTTCATCTGGGTATCAATGCATAAAACTCTAACTGATTAGAATGCACTAGATTTCATCACTTACCATGATTACCAGAAATATATAGCAACTAAAAGATCAGTTGACGTTCCAAATTTCCTAGCGGTAATTTTCAAACTTATTTTCTACTGATAAAATGTTCAGAACTTAACACATTGAGTAACTAATTATGTTTAGTTTAAAGTTATGGCAAACAGTTTACTGTTTCGACAAATGAATATATATACATTTTTATATTCTGCAAATTCTTGTTTCTGAGTTAACATTTTATTGGGAGGCAGTGGTTACACCCCTGTGAGTCACATTGCTTTCCAGTTTGATTATAGAAAGTAAATATTTATAGAACAATCTTCCAATCAGATGTATGGGTAGACAAGTGCAAGTCTTTGACTTTATACTTTTCCAAATAGTTTGGAAAAATATTAATTTTAATATCTAATGTAGATATTATAATTTGCAAAGACATCTTAGAATACAATCAAAAACGTAATTACTTTCTCATTTGCAAAGCTATCATAAAATGTTTCAATGTATGTATAATTGAATGTCTAATTAGAGCTCTATATTAGGAGATAAGCTTTTTTGCAGCTTTGTATTTTAGCTATATTTTCCAGAAAGTTAAAGATTTGATGTTACTTTTAATATAATAAAAACATTTCTCATAGAATTATTAAAATTTTTTATCTTAATATGTAATCAGTATGTAGAACATGGTAAAAAAAAAAACTTATGATTTAAATATGTCGGGAGAAACTACTATGGATATTTTTAAATTGGAGTAGAGAATACACTAAAGAAAATGCCATTTTTTCACCTTTTTTCATTTGATTACAAAAATAATCAAATGGCATTTTCTTTAGTTAACAGTTTCTTGACTTGTCATGTCCTTGAGTATTCTTTGTCCTTAAATAAAATCTTTTAATTATATAGTGATATTTATAAGTACATTTTGACTTTCATATACATTAAAATATCACAGTAACCTATTTGGTTAGATAGTAAATAGAAATAAAAAAGATATGCAGTATTATGTATTTCTTTAGAAAAATTCACAATTATCTATTAAAATTTAAGGTGTCTGCAAAGTCTCTCATATATATACATTTATCTCCTCAGTGATTACCGTGTGTGTGTGTGTGTGTGTGTGTGTGTGTGTGTGTGTGTGTAATCAAAACCACAATTCTGACTGGCATGAGATGGTATCACATTGTGGTTTTGATTTGAATTTCTCTAATGATCAGTGATGTTGAGCTTTTTTTCACGTTTTTTGGCCTCATAAATGTCTTCATTGGTAAAGTCTCTGTTCATGGTGTATATATATATATTATTACTATATATATAGTAATCACTATGAGGAGGTATAAAGTATATATATATGGTAATCACCATGAGGAGGTAAATGTGACACAGAGCGTGAAACCTAGATAACGTGGACAGTTCTCTTGAAAAAGACACTGTGTCTAATAAGTACCAACTGATTCTTCAGTCCTTTCAGTTTAAAAAGAAAATGAATTAATGTTGTGTGTAGGGCAAAAGAGAACCTTCTAAGAAAAGGCTCTGAGTCAAGTGGAACTTGGATTGGTTTGTATTCCAAATAACCATTTGTATTTATAACTCAAAGTGAGCACTGATCTAAGCTAGTGAATGTATTTTTATTAAAATCAGTAATTTTGATTCTTTTTAAAAAATATTCTTTTTATTGTACATTCTGGGATTCATGTGCAAGATGTGCAAGTCTGTTACATAGGTAAACGTGTGCATTGGTGGATTGCTGCACCTATCATCCCATCACCGAGGAATTAAGCTCTGCTTGTGCCTTAGCTCTTTACCCTGATACTCTCCCTCTCCTACCTCTCCTCACCGCCAGCAGGCCTCAGTGTCTGTTGTTCCCTTTCCTGTGTCTATGTATTCTCATTGTTCACCTCCCACTCATAAGTGACAAAAATGTGTTTGGTTTTCTCTTTCTATGTTAGTTTGCTGAGGATAAAGGTGTCCAGCTCTATCTATGTCCCTGCAAAGGACATGTTCTCATTGATTTTTATGGCTGCATAATATCCCATGGTGCATACGTATAACATTTTCTTTATTCAGTCTATCATTGATGGACATTTGGGTTGATTCCATGTCTTCGCTATTGTGAATTGTGCTGCAATTAACATATGTATGCATGTTTCTTTATAATAAAATACTTTATATTCATTTGGGTATAAACCCAGCAATGGTATTGCTGTGTCAAATGTTATGTCTAGTTCTAGGTCTTTGAAAAATTACCACACTATCTTAAAACAGTGCTTGAACTAATTTAGATTCCCATTAAAAATGTAAAAGTGTTTCCATTTCTTCACAGCCTTGGAAGCATCTTTTGTTTCTTGAATTTTTAACAATTGCCATTTTGACTGGCATGAGATGATATCTCATTATGGTTTTGATTTGAATTTCTGTAATGATCAGTGATGTTGAGCTTTTATTCATATGTTTGTTGGCCTCATAAATGTCTTCATTGGTAAAATGTCTGTTCATGTCCTTTGCTCGCTTCTTAATGGGATTGTATGTTTTATTTTTCTCTTTAATGTGTTTAAGTTCCTTGTAGTTTCTAGGTAATAGACCTTTGTTAGAAGGATAGATTGCAAAAATTTTCTTTGATTCTGTAGGCTGCCTGTTCACTCTAATGATAGTTTCCTTTTCTGTTCAGGAGCTCTTAAGTTTAATTAGATCTCATATGTTGATTTTTGCTTTTGTTGCAATTGCTTTTGGTGTTTTCTTCATGAAATCTTTGCCTGTGCCTATGTCCTGAATGGTATTCCCTCAATTTTCTTTTATTTTTTTTTATAGTTTTGGGTTTTACATTTAAGTCTTTAATCTAACGAGTTAATTTTTGGATAAGGTTTAAGAAAGGGAGTCCAGTTTCAATTTTCTTCATATAGCTAGCCACTTTTCCCAGTACCATTTATTAAATAGGGAATCCTTTCCTCATAGCTTGTTTTTGTCAAGTTTGCTGAAGATCAGATGGTTGTAGATGTACAGTCTTATTGCTGAGATCTCTATTATGTTCCATTGGTCTATGTGTCTATTTTTGTACCAGTACAAAGCTGTTTCAGTTACTGCAGCTTTGTAATAAAGTGTGAAGCTGGGTAGCATGATGCCTTCGGCTTTATTCTTTTCGCTTAGGGTTTTCTTGGCTATATTGACTCTTTTTTGGTTCCATATGAATTTTAAATTAGATTTTTCTAATTCTATGAAGAACGTCAATGGTAGTTTAATGGCATTAGCATTGAATCTATAAATTACTTTGGGCTATGTAGCCATTTTTCCTATATTGATTCTTCCTATCCATGAGCATGAAATGTTTTTTCTGCTTATTTATGTCCTCTCTTATTTCCTTGAGCAGTGGTTTATAGTTCTCTTTAAACAGACCCCTTATTTCCCTTGTTAGCTCTTTTCCTAGATATATTATTCTCTTTTTAGCAATTGTGACTGGGATTTCATTCATTATTTGGCTCTCTGTTTGTCTATTGTTGGTGTAAAAATAATATGGAATGCTTCATGAATTTGCATGTCATCTTTGCACAGGAGACATGCTAGTTTTCTCTGTATCATTCCAATTTCAGTACATGTGCTGCCAAAGTGAGCACAACTTCAATTCTTTGCTCGTCATTTCATTCGCTAAATTTGTTTTGGAAGAACAAATGTGAGGCTAATATTGAGGATAGGAGACATTTTTCTAAGCATTCTAGGAATTTAATTGTACCAAACTGTGTAACAGAGGGCACAATGTGGACAAGAATTTTCTTAAAACAAACTTTATGAGTTTTGTAAGAATACTGATACAGTATATTTTTATGTAAATAAAATTTTATAAATATTTATTTTTATAGCAAATAACATAATTTTTAATAAATCACATAACTTTGTAATTGTTATTCTAGCAAATAAACCTTTCCAAATAAATGTAGAGAAATAAAAAATAATGTGTGATCATAGAGAAAATCAACAAAACTGGACTATAACAGATATATTTTGTTTAACTATGAAAATTGTGACCTTAAAGACTGGGTCTTCTCAAAGACTTGCTATTATGACTTTTTAAATTCTCATTATTTGATATTTTGGACAAAGGAATTTATTCTGCTTAAGAGACTATTTTGTTGCTGGATAGTATGTAAGTAAATAATTTGGATAAGGTAATCTGGAATGTCTTGCCCTGGAATTTGTTCCAGACTATAGGCTTAAGTAAAGAAGAAAGATATTCATGTCTGTATGATTTATCATAGTTTACCAGCATAAAAAAAGATGAAAAGATTGAGAAATGGTGTCCATGTATATTAAGCTCTGCTGTAACACTTGCTTATAAATACAAATTGATTCCAAGGCAATTGCTATATTAACAAATTTTAAATTAATGCAAATTTTACATTTGCTTATGCATTATTTTACGTGTGGGAAACTGAATGTGGAAAACTTCTCACAACTAAACCAATTCACAGACACACATAGACACAAATACACACACCATACCTCTCAAGTGTATATCACTACCATTGTATCACATGGTCTTATAGTCCAACATCCCATCAAATTTCAGATAATCATCCATCACTTCAGAATAACTCACAAGTTGCAATCATTCCACAAGCAAACTTCAGATCTTTTTCTATGTATTATGCATTTATTTAAAAATGGTCATATGTAAAACTCTGGGACTCTTAATTCAGATTCTGAATTTTAAAAAATGTGTGTTACTAAGTTTTTAACATTTTTCCATAAGCCCTCTAGTATTTTCAGTGCAGTTTTGCATAAGAACACATATTTTGTGCTACAGCAAAATTGACTGACTGTAGAAAAACTGACTATAGCAAAGTACATAAATCTACTTTGCATATAAAATAGCAAGAGATTCCAAACATTTTAACAACTGAACTAAAATGGAAGAATATTAATAAATTCAAGGTTCCAAAATGGCAGCATAGAAGAAAACTGTCTTCTCCCCCTACAAAGAAAACCAAAACCAAATATACAGCATTGAATTTATCACCAGAAATAGCCCAGAACTCAAATATGAAGAAAGAATAATTTCTGGGGTCACAGAGAAGTGGAAAATCTCTGAGCAGATGGTAAGAGAATTGGACTTCCACATCTATGATGCTCGTGCCCTCATTCTGCCCAGCACCAAGTATGCAGAAGATATCCCACCAACTCACTGTTTCTACAATGTAAAAAGTTAGATGAAAGTGAACAACCAACTTCCCAACATGTTTGGTTCCCTCGCAGGGTTTCTGTGTCTGCCTTAACCCACGGGAAGCAGTGTGAGTGCCTGAAGAGAGTCATGTCACTGAAGACAAGCAGAGAAAATGGGTAATGATGGGACTAACATTCTCAGCCCTGGAAATTAATATAAGAAAGTAAGTGAGTAAATAATGACATAAAATAAATTCAGAAATCATAGTCTTTTAAATTAAAAATTTCCAGCAGAAACATGGAAAAATTCAAATCTATCTATCTATCTATCTATCTATCTATCTACCTACCTACCTATCATCTATGTATGTGTTATGTGATATGTGACACGTGATTTATGGATATAAATATATAAGCTTATATATTTATATATGTATGTGCTGTTAACTTGATTAAATTTATCCACACTTATAAGACTAGATAGAAGCACCAATGACCTTTTTATATTAATCACACACATACACACACAGACCAAACATTAAAAAAATCTATGAACTTGTGATAAAATATATGCTAATTGACAGTAATATTTGAGCCACATGTTGTAAGTAATAAAAACAAGTTTACATATAGACCAATGAAATAATTCAAGGTTTTAAAAATAGGACATAAGAATTTATGAAGTTTTAATAGTTCTTAAGACACTATTGCCTAAATGGCATTTATAAGTCCAGCAGTCTTGATGACAAAAACTAAAAACATTCACATAATTAATAATGTAAATCAGAGATTAACAGACTTTTTCATAATCAGCCAGAGAGTAAATATTTTCAGTTTTGCTAGCTGCATGGTATCTGCCATAAGTATTCAGTTCTGCCTTTGTAGCAAGAAAGCAATCATAGACAATATGTAAACAATTTGGCATGACAATGTTCCAATTAAATTTTATTGATAGAAACAAGCAGACTGACTGGACTTCAATTCACTGATGCCTGGTGCAAAAAATAATCATTTAATTTTTACAAATATGATAATTACTAATATTTGAATTGATCTTTGAAGTTTAGAGAGTTCTTTCACATACCATTTCAAATTAAAAACTTACTAAATCTCCAGCAGATATATGCTAGTATTCATTCTAGATAAAGACATTGTGTCTTGATCAGGTTGTATACTTTGATTAAATGTCACAAAATTATGTAGCTATGAATTAGAAATAAAAAATGAGAATTTTAACTCACTATTATATACTATTCTTAAAATGTTATGTAGCATACTGGAAACGAAGACATATTAGTACTTAGGGGAAATTAAACACTTTAAGTTCTAAATTGTACTTCCTTTTTTATTTTTAAAGTGAAAGCAAGTTCATTAGCAAAGTAAGGAATAAAAAATTACTACTCCATAGGTGGAGCAGCCTAAATTATATTTCTTAAATGGTGATTTAAGTAGAGTATATCAAATTATAAGTTAGATAAACAGCTAATTAATATTATACTCACTTCTCAGGGTTCAGGCATCAGATAGAAAAATTCATCTGATAAACTGTATAAGGTCATGGTAAGAATCACAATATAAAGCCAGGTATTTGAGTAGCAAATAATTTTAAGCCCTTATTAAAATTATTTAATAATAAAATACTCAAGGAAAGAATTGACTTAAACTTTAGACACAACACTTGAGATATAATCCAACTAATAGAACCTAATGACTAAATTACTAAGTATAACAATGTGTAACTTTTAAAAAATAAATATTTATAATATTGTTACAAATTATCAGAAAATAATAGGTAGATTTCTATTTTATTGATGAAGCTAAATTTTAAATAAAAATAAAAGAATAATACATTATTGGATTGTTTGCTCTAGCATTTCAATTTTGTTTGCCATGACATATTCAGAATATTGATGAATGGGGTTGTTATCAGGTGAAATACTCACTTACAGTCTATTACTATAAAAATGGCATGTAATAAAATTTAACTGAGGTTTCTTTATCAGACAATATTCTCTTAGAATTTTAAAAGTGCATCATAATATGTAATTGAAATATCTTTCATTTTTAAGCTTGATGTTTGAGATATATTTCATAATTTTGAATCTCATGTTGATACACTAAGTAAACTGACACTTATTTCATAAATCTTGTAACCATTTATATAGTATAAGATTGTTTCTGAGCATAAAAATAATCTTGCTATTCAAATCTATATTCTAATAATTATGTTGAACATATTTTAAATTTCAAAATTGTGTTATTTTATTCTTATGAAAATACATTATTGTTATGATTTTCTTTATAAACTTCACTTCAGATTAAATATATAGGATGTTTTCAAATATATAAGAATATTATTGAATTAAAAATAGTTTCACTAACCTATAGGTAACAAAATATATTTGCAAATATAAAAGAGGATATAATATTTTATTTAATGTAGAGTATTTCATCACGTTGTTACTTCTATTAGACTTTGAAATTCTTCCATTAAATTTTCGTTTCCAGGTGTGTCACTTTTATTTTATTGGTAAATGTAAAAATAACCAAAATAAGAGCATTTTAAAAATGCTTTAGAAATTTAACACTAAAGACATTGTCTAGGAGGTGTCACAATATATTTTAATAATACATTTATTAATAGATCTATGACTCTTAAAGATTATTGGCAGGGTTTTGTTTTTTTCTCTTGAAGAAGCTTGTCCAACCAGTGGGCCACATGTGGCACAGGGCAACTTTGAATGCAGCCCAACAAAATTGGTAAATGTTCTAATTTCTTTTTTTTTTTTCTTTTTTTTTTTTTTTTTTTTTTTTTTTTTTGAGACTGGAGTTTCGCTGTTGTTACCCAGGCTGGAGTGCAATGGCGCGATCTCGGCTCACCGCAACCTCCGCCTCCTGGGTTCAAGCAATTCTTCTGCCTCAGCCTCCCGAGTAGCTGGAACTACAGGTGTGCACCACCATGCCCGGCTAATTTTTGTATTTTTAGTAGAGACGGGGTTTCACCTTGCTGACCAAGATGGTCTCGATCTCTTGACCTGACCTCGTGATCCACCCGCCTCGGCCTCCCAAAGTGCTGGGATTATAGGCGTGAGCCACCGCGCCCGACCCTGTTCTAATTTCTTAAAACATAAGTAATTGTTTTTGAGATGTTCTTTCCTTTCTCTCTCTCTCTCTCTTTTTTTTTTTTTTTTTTTTAGCTTATCAGCTATTGTTAGTGTTAGTGTATTTTATTTGTGGCCCAAGATAATTTTTCTTCTTCCAATGTGGCCCATGGAGGCCATAAGATTAGATACCCTGTCTTAAAAAATTATTCTGTTCCATTTTATCAATTATTGAAGACTGTGCACATCATGTTGTCCTAGAATATTTTGGCTTCAGGAATCATAGAACTATCCTTAACAAAGAAATGTGAGAATATTTTGTGTTATTTTTTCAGAGGTAGGAAAAGTTGGAGGAC